CTATCTTTTTCCTCCTTCTTCAATCGTAGAGACGTGAAGCCGCCAACGCCGATTGTGTCGTGGTTTGAAAACGAGGAATTGTCCTTTCGTGACGACGAAATAATACGAGACCACAATAAGGACCCTCCCCTTGCTCACACTACCGATGAAAGGGAATGCCTCTGAAAAACTCGAGTGCAGAAAGAAAGAGAGAAAGAGAGAGAAAGAGAGAGAAATAGAGAGAGAGAGAGAGAGAGAGAAATAGAGAGAAAGAAGAAAAGAGAAATACAGAGGGTTGAAGGAGTTAGTCGAAGCCAGCGAGAAAATCAGGATGCGATGTTTAAATATAAGAGAAGAAATTGCTGCGATCTCGTTCTCGTTGAATTTAAAAACGAAAGTCAGGATCATCCCGACCGTAAATTCATTTCATTCTCCTGGAAATAATGTTTCAGAATAGCTAACGGGAATACGAGACTACTCACTTGCTTTCCTTCTTCGTGATGCCATTTTGTCAAGCCGATGTCATTAGCGGAGAGACTTAATTTTTTTTCTTCTTTTTTTTTTTTCTTTTTCTTTCATTTTAATTTGTCTATTTCAACTTGGACCTCAACGGTATGGAATTATTATTTTGCATCTTTATATTAAACTTTTTGTTTATATTGTAGAAAAGATGATAGCAAAGGTACGAGGATTTTTCATCTAATGAATAATATGAAAAACAGATATAATATACGTACGTAACGTAGCAACTAGATAGATGAAAAGAGAAACGTTAAATTTGAACAAGAAGGATGAATATATTAAAAGAGGAAAACTGAACACAAGTACTTACTATGCAATACTATATTTTTCTAGTATTTATATACGCTCGGATCGTGTGGTCGAACGAACGTAATATCGATTTACACGTGCGTAATACAAAAAGAAAGATAGATAAAAATGGATAGATATTTTTGTTTGTAGATACAATGTATAACTTCAAAGATTACTTCATAATATTCTTCAGTTCAAATTCTTTTATTATGCCTGCGATCATGTTTTTATTCCGAATTTTTATTCGATCACAAATAAAATATTTGATTCTTTGTATTTAACAATACGCAATAGAAAAAACATAGATATACATATGCATAATGTTTTTAAATGATAATAAACAATCGTAAAATACAATTTTTATTTAAAAAAAGATAATTACCTTGATATTTTTTTGTTAATTTTACTATCTAGTTTGTTTATATTCATCAACAAACTATATACTGTTTCAAAAAAACGAGGGCTTTATATTTGCATTCTTTCACGAGTATGATTTTAACCGAGCTGCATCATCTCGACTGTGAGTAACTTTGTGAGCGCACGAGCACATATGTATCTATATATTTTTTAAAAATTCCTGCCCGATGACCGACAAGAAGAACGGGGAAAAAATGTTGGTTATCTGTAAATCATTCGACCCTCGGAAACATTTTTTCTTTTTTTCTTACACTTTTTTCCTTCCCTCCTGCACTCTCTCTTCCTCTCTCTGTCTTTCTCTCTTTTTTTTTTTACGGGACGTCGGACTTCAAACGAATTTTTTCTCTGTGACGTCCGTTTATCCGTATTCGTTCTCCACGAGAACACAAGTATGGACATATGTATTGTTCGTATCTGATCGAAGCATTGATCGAACTATGTACAACATAGGATTTAATCTTTTCCGTTTCTGTATGAAAGTATTTCCTTTTTGTCTTTCGAAGAAACAAACGATAAATTCTTTTGACCATATCTTTTATGAAATAGTGTGAGGTTTTGTATCAAACTTAATTCTTTTCGAAATATTAATTTCTCGAGAGCATCGAACAATGACTATTTTACAATAAATATTCAACGTATTTATCAATATATGTCTATATATGTAAGTGATGCATAGATATATGCATTATGGATGCGGGTTATGGTGGGTAGACAGGTATTCATTTGAAATATCTATCGATTGGATAGTAAGATTCGCGATCAATGAAATGGAAACTAGGCACGAGTCGATTTTATTTTTTTTCCATATAAAAAATTCATGAAATTCATCTCTCATTCAATTAATTGCAATTATAAATCAATCAATCCGTAATATATACAATAAGCGTAAGAAGTATTCGTACAGCAGTGAATTTGAATAAAAACTTTGTATAACTTTGTTTAATAGCAAAAAATATCAACAGAAAGTACATATATATATATATATATATATATTTAGAAATCTCTAAAACGAATGTTATTAAAAAATAACTATTTATTTATATTTGTTATAAAAATACTAACAAATTTTCAGAAATTAGATGAAAATATATGCATAATAAGTATTTACAACAGTAAATACAAAGTATTTACAACAAAAACTATACATTTTATACCATAAACGTAACAAAAAAGCAATTTATTTGCAATTTTAGTATCAGGTGGGATTCTCTTTAGGTTATATAATCGCTTTAAGTCTTTGTAGTATCGAATTTACTAAATTTCTGGTTTTAATACTAGAAATATTATTCCTCTCTTCTAAAAGTGCTTTTTTAAATCTTTCTTTGAAGAAATGTGATGATCACAAATATTTTCTTCGAGATAACTCTATAAATGTTCTATTTGGTACATTATACAGGATCCATTGTTAATTGTAAAAATACAATTGTCCTGTAATCCAATTTTATTTGCACTAGCTTGAAGATTTTGTTTTAAAATATCAATATATAATTTATTGTCCATGATACCATCGATAAACTGGAGAGAATCAACCCTATTTGCATTCATGCAGCCCCAAACTGTGACCGAGTCTCCTCTATGCTTTGTCAAATATGTTAAATTTACTTTCATTAGTAAATATAACATGATTCCAGTACTCCATAGGAACATTGATATATTCTTTCACAAATTCTAATTGTTTCTTTCTATTAATTTTATTTACGAAATATTTTCTACGGGCTACTCTACCATGGTATCCTACAGCTCGTAAAAAATTATGCACTGTACTACTGCATACATTAATATTAAGATTATTTTTAAGTTCAGCAGCGATATTTACTGTACTTATTTTTGGATTTTATTTTATTGTTTGAATTATGCATTGACCAGTGTACTCATTTATTTTGCGTTTACGTCCGTTTTAAGGATTATTTTAAAAAATTTTTCGGTCTCTATATCTGTCAATGATTCCTTGAATCGTGGACCGTGGTATATTTACAATTTTAGAAATTTCTGTGTGTTTTGCACTTATTATGTAAATTTATTATAATTTTCCTTTCTTCTTCAGTGTTTTCCTTGCCTTTTCATCCCATTTTATGGTTAATTATATATGAATTTAGAACATTATCTGTATTGACAACATCCCCAGATATATTGATCCTAGATATATTGATATAAGATCTATTATCTTTTTATTTATTTTATTTATAATGTCACAAATTAAGGACTGTATAAATATTTATTACGCGTATATTTTTTGCTTATTTCTGAAAATTTTTAAATATTTTCATAACAAATATAAATAAATAATTATTTTTTAATTCGTTTTAGAGATTTCTAAGAATAGGTATATATATTTTTTGTTAATATTTTTTGTGTACAAAACAAAATTTTACGAAAGTTTAGTTTAAATTCACTGCTGTACGAATACTTTTTATACGCACTGTAGTTAAATTTCTTTCTAACGAATTCAACGATAATGAATGAACTTTTGCAAAATTTTTATTTTCCTTTTCCCATTGTTTTAGATTTAATTTCTATATACAAAGAAATAGAACAGCGGTTTGAATAATAAGGTGTAACTACAAAAAGTTTCTTAGCATATTAGGTATTTATAAAAAAACAAATAAATATTTATTTTAAAAATTCCAACTTATCTCTATTTATTATGTTTATCAACAGGTTTGTTAAAGGGCTCCGTCACAGCGGAGCGGCCGCGTACATTGCGCCGTTTGCGAAACGTTTACGGACAGTCCGCATGCGGAATGGGAACCGGCGGGGAGGGTGGCGGTGGTGGAGAACGTCTTGAAGACGACGAAGTGAATTTTCGATTATCTGATAGGGATCGTGAAAGAGATGAAAAATCACTTAGCATAATGAGTCCGTTTGATGAGCAAGAAGAATGGGCAAAAATTTCTGAGATTATGGCATCCTTTGGCACAGGACTCGTACGAGAATCGGTTTTCGTCACTGAACTCGAAAAAGAATTTCAAACAAGATTAGGTAATGAAATTATATATTTTAGGATCGCCATGTTTTTAGTTTTTCGAATGAAATCTGTGGCAATGAAATATTAACGTGTTCCTTTATGGGATATGAACAGAATGAATAAATATATTTTTCATTTTCTTATTCTCAGGCTTAAGTTCCGATACCAGTAGCAGTCCTATTGTTTCCACGTCAGTCGGTCAATGGTTAGCGAGTTTAGGACTCGCTGATTATGAATCCCTTTTCATAAACTATGGTTTCGATGATCTTGAATTTATAGTAAGTATCTAAGCATATATATATTTTTTCGAGAGTTTGACTTTATTAGTTCTACTAATAATTTAAATATTTGAATTTTTTACTTGAAGAACGGAGTTCTTGATGAATCCGATTTGAGAGACATGGGAATCAATAGTGATCAAGAACGTGCGATAATCATGGACGCTGCCGGCTTGTTGAATAAACGCGTGGAGAAGCATCTTGGTAGTCACTGTCAGAGCGTGGACGAATGGTTGAAAAGCATTCACATGGAGAATTATATGGAGACCTTCAGAAAACATCTTTACACCGACATGGAACGCGTGAGTCGCATCTGGGAAGTTGAGTTGGCTGCAGTATTAGAGATTCAAAAGTCTGCACATCGAAAGCGAATCCTGGCTTCGGTCAGTGGACCGAATCCTCGAGCTCAGACGCGGAACGGTACTGGCCCTAACCTCGAGGATCTCAATAAGGATTTGAACACCTTAGTAAGTCGAACATTTTATTAATATATGTACATGTCTGACGAGTTATTACTTATTAATATATTTACGATTTGATTTTTATTTAATTTTGATAATATCTGTTTCGAAACCAAATTAAAGAAATTTGGTTGATCTATATTTAAACGATTAATCAGAGAATTTACGGTTGCACGATATATATTTGTAACAAAAGCAATGGTTTATTTCGATGTAATATGTAGAAACCGCTTTGGTGAATGTATTATAATTATTATTATTCACAAGTTGTAGTAGAAAGTACGTTCCACGCTGGAAGTTTCTATCGATCGCTATTAAAATGACGCGAGCTTTCGGAAAATTTGTTGAAACCATGACTACTACCAAACATCAAAATGTTGCAAAATTTTGAAAAGTTCTTTTTGGCATCGTAGCAGGTTTTTTCATCGTACCGAAGAAATTTTTTCGTTATAAAAGAGAGATGTCTTTTCATATCAATATATATTATAGTTTCGTATATCTACGATCCGATAAAGTAATGCAAATTTTATTTAGATTCGAACGAATTATTACTTAGCTATTATCAAATTAATTTAAAATTGAGTCTATACGAATTAGAGTAAGAGAAATTTCGTAAAGCTTGCGAGAGGAACTTTATACACGGTTGAGTAATTGTAAATACGAAAGATCGGTTTTTCGAAACAAACGATCTTTACTGTCGTATAACAAAATCTATTGTCCGACGGATGTGACGCAGGATTCCTCGTATAGTATACAATTCGGAAGTGTGATTAAAAGAGAACTCGAACCGTGGAATCGGAAAAGAGAAATAGAAAGAGAGAAAGGGAGAATCGGTCGATCGGTTCGTTGAACGACGGTATCAACGGAACGTAGGTAGTTTCGAATTCGAATGACACTTATCGATCGTCAAGCGAAAAAGCGTAAGAGACCAATTTGTCAGGATTATCACATGGTAAGGGAAAGTCAAGAAGGAGGTCGGCAAGTTGACGCGTCGATCGACGAGTCGCATCGACGAAGGGATATTAGTGGAATTTAATGAGCTAATTAAGAGAGCGCGAAGCGAAGGGCTCCGTGGATGGTGACTGGTCCATACTAGTGCGTTAGGGGTATCTGACATTATCTGATACGCTCAAGGATTCTGAACAAAAAGCATTAAGTATCGCATGAATGATCAGGCTGAAAGGTTGCTCTTCGATACGTATCCTCGTATCCTTGCGAGTGCGCACGCAAGTTCACGCATTATACGCGAAAGCTTTACGATACGTCCTCTCCAATTAGCCGCGATATTTACATTAAGGTGCGATTCAATAAAATCTCATCGAGTGTACGCAGAAAAGCATTGTCAGACGATATTCGTCCTTCGATCTCCTCTCGCGTTCACGAACTCTTTTTTTCTTTTTTTCTTTTCTTCTTTTCGAATGATGAGTTCACGTAACACAATGTTATTGGTAAATGAAAATACGATTTTTTTTTTGATCATTGCTAAATATTACATACTTTTTATAACGTTAAATAAAGAAAAGGAAAAATCACTTAATCGGTCAGATCAGACGAACTTTATAACGTATCTTGATTTTATTTATGAAAATATCGTGAGAAAAAGGCATCATAGTTTTGATCTTTCGAATAAGCGGGACGTACGAATGACGATAGTTTCGTCGTTGTTGGTCTCTGCAGAAAACGAATATACAACAGCTGAAGGAGGAAATACGAGAGAAATTGCCGGAAACAACAGGGGAGAGTAACGGGAGTGTCTCGGTAACCGTAACAAATTCGATGAACACTGGTACACTGAGGCATCGTAAAAACAGACCAGCTCCACAACCACCTCAACGACCCAGTTCGCACAATGGTGCGATCACTGCTCCTGAACAGCTCGAGATCAGAGCACCTTCGGAATTATTATTTGGTGTACCATCTACTTTAAAGACGCAATGGAGGCATCAACCCAAGGCTCTAGTCACTGGCTGCGTCAACTATGTTGCCAACGTAAGTTCGATCGTCTAATTTTATTTATTTTTTTCGATTTAATTGTTTTGGGATAAAAGATGGTACCTCTGTATTACTTTCGAAATTACACAGTACCTGGGCTCCACCGTCGTGAAAGAATTAAGAGGTACAGAGTCGACCAAGAAATCTATTCAAAAACTCAAGAAGACTTGTCGTGACACCAGAGTCACGCCTGATATAACCCTTGCCATCTCTTATCGGGGCGTAAGGTTTTTGAATACATTGACCAATGTAAGATTTTTAATCTCGTTAAGTATCAAGAGTTTTTGATCTTTACTCCAAGACTAAGTCAAAAGTCGAGACAAACACGACTTGTAATTTCAGTTATCTCCCGTTTTATTGTTAAAAAAAAAAGTAGATAATCGATATCAGTATATATTTAAAATATACAATAGTTGGACGAAAAAAATGGGTCATGGGTAAAAGATTAAGAACTTTAGAATTTGAAACGAGTATGGTCGGCCACTTTTTACATCACTATTTTTTCAAATTCCTGTATTAAACAGGAGCCAATCTGCGAACATGAGATACGCAACATTCACTGTGCTTGTCAGGATGCCGACGATCTTACACATTTTGCCTACATCACCAAGGATCATGCGAGTCGCACACATTTCTGTCACGTATTCTGCGTGCCAACTATGGTAAATTTATATTATATTATTTTACGTTCAGTTTTTGTTTTGTTCCGACATTTGAAACTCGCTTAGAAAAAAATGAAATCAAGATTGATCACGATCTAATTCTAAGACGATCTTTTAATCCATTTATTCGTTCAATGGATACTGTTTTTATATCACGGTATAGCGTTATCGATCGTAGTCGTTCGGAAATAAAGTTGCGGCTTATGCGCGGTAAAACCTATTCGTAACGTTTGATACTTTGATCTTTGGTCAAAACTTTTGAGCAGTCTCGAAGCTTTGGAACTCTATGAATGAAACTTCACGCTTGTTCCTCATGTTTGCAACTTCAAAATACCCTCGTCTCTCGGTATGAGTACATGTACATCTTTGATACTGCTTTTTAAAGTTTCCAGGTCGTATAATAAATTCTGACTCGGACTATAAGTTTTATATAAATAACTTGAAAGCTTAAAGCTAGTCAAGAACATCAATGCAAGCTTTACTATTCATTTTATATTTGAAATTTTTAATGAGAGCAGACAATGATTATCTAAACTTACATTGATGGTGTTTCAAAAATTTGACGGTTGTTTCGCTTTATACTTTTATTTAATATACTTTATATTTAAGAGAAAAATGAGACAATAAATAACATATTTCGAGGTATATTCATTTACTGTTCGAAAATATTTTATTTTAATAACGACTAGTAATTAAATGTGTTAGTGAATTTACATTATTACTTACTTACTCCAAAGTGAGTACTGAATGTAAACAAATACATATTCAGTAAAATGTATAATATATGATATTTTAATGACTTTGTAATAAAAGATATCACGTTGTGTTTATACTTGATAATCATAAATTAATCCAAAAGAAAACATAGTTTTTTTTTTCATTGTGAAATATTTGTTTACATTCACGTAATAGTACAGACTTCTATAGAGCACATTCATAATGTTTTCATCAGTGAAAGCGAGAGGTCACGCATTTGTTTCAGGACCAAGCAACTGAAGTCATCCTAACGCTGGGCCAAGCATTCGAGGTAGCTTATCAGATGGCATTGAGGGACAAGTTGGGGGGACATGCCGTGCGTTCTCAATCGGCCAATCAGTTAGTTTCGCTTTCGAGCTCGACTAAATCCAGTGGAATAATGGCAAAGACATCCTCTCCTGAGTCAACTATTGAACACATCCGAGAGAGCGATCATGAGGTCACTGCAACCATTCCAAGTAATCACAATTCTACGTCAAATCTCAAAGCGAAGCCACGATCCAAGTCCATTCCTAATCCCAACGGTTATTCCGTGAGCACCTCGCAAGAAACCAACTCCAGTTCCAGTTCTGGCTCGAATACAACGGCCAATTGTACGAACTCCGCTTCGAGTCCCAGCTCAAACTCAGTTGCTAGCTCAAATTCGAACACCAGTACCAATCAGACTACCGCGAAGCCTCTGTTAACTCACGGACGTTCTCACTCCGTAAATGACATCAAGGTGAACGGCAATCAACTTAAGTTGGCTCCTCCGGTACCGGTAGACGACATAGGCGTCGGTGTAAAAGATTTAAAGCCTGGCTCTCGTGCACCGATAGCACTATCCGAGGAACTCTAAACAATACTTTTCTTCCGATTCATCATCGGATTTTTATTCGATATACGTATTTTTAGATTTGATAATCGTTCGTCATTTCGATCGGTCTCGGACTTTCATTATTTCTGGCCTATTATTGATTCATCGATCGTTAATTCGTTCAATAATCATTCAACGAGCATACCCTCGCGTTGTTTAGCGATTCTTTGATTTATCGTCTTCCTTATTGAAATCATAGCAATGTCGAATAATTGCGATCAAAAGTTAACCCAATGAAATCATCATCGCCTTGTATTTCGCTCGAACCTAATCACAGCAAGAACATAATCAGAAGGACATGGATGTTTCTTCAGAGTTAGGAATGAACCATCAATTGAACTTAGATACAAAGATATCATTGGTGATATTATCGTTTTATCAACCTGTTCCATTTCTAATTTCTGTATGATAACATAGATATGTACATTCTGGAAGGATATCATCGTGTACTTTTCAACTGTCTTCAAAGTTATGTACATACATGGAGCCTCGAAAATACGCGAAGGTAAGTAACGAATATTATTTCTTCACTGGCAAGATACTCTGTGATTTTTAATAACGCACACGTCAACTAATCGAGATTAAGTTGAAACGAAAATGTCCAAAAGATTTCTGACAAATTTTAAGGATTTTATCGATCATTATAAAGTAATCCGACGATAACGATTATATAAATATACTTTATTCTTTAATGAGATCACCAAATCATGTGATAATGATGATAGAAAATAGGAATTTTTTCGTTTCTATTATACATATAATCTTTTACGAAAATATTTTATTTGAAATAAAAGAATTCACATCCGCGAACTGCTATCGAGGAAATTTTCAATATATAAAACGTGTGCGTTAATGGTGATGATTTATTGTGTTAACGATAATTCGTATTTAATTATTCACGTATTTTGAGCGTATGCTACATACATTAACACGAGTTATAACATATGTACCTATAAACAAAAGAAGTAGATATACATCATATTATCCCATTTTAAGTTCGAGTCGATGTATCTATCACATTCCCGTTGAAAAAATGGAAGGAAAAAAAAACGAAAGACTTAGTGTATCATGACCCTAGTCACACAACAAAATCACATACACAAACATTGCTTCATTAACCCTTCCAGTAATTATTCGTAATGAGTGAGATTCTGAGGCTGAAAGAATCGAAATCTTTCCTTTAATTGGAAAAGATCGATGTGAAAGCTGCGTGACGTTCGATCGACCACATTTTTCCTAATGATTTTTCGATGATTTTTCGATGATTTTTCGAATTTCTCCAATTTCCAGTTCAAAGTGGCCACTGTTTTTTCGACGTTTCATTATTCAAGACTGAGAGTCCTTATCTCGTTTGATACTTCGCGTTAAGCATAATATTATTATAATGATTATATATATATATACATATAGATAACAGTAGTTGTATTTATTGTGTATTAACTAATCCGACTAAACCTCGCGATTAGAAGACGATGCTTTAGCAAGAGAGCGCGAAAAAAAAACATAGAAATATATCAATATATATATGGATATAGTTATGTGTGTGTACATATATACATATATATGTATAGATACATAACTATATTTTTATTGAATTATATATATATATAATACTCGTTAGAATGATTGACGAACGAGCGCGAAAAAAAGATGAAATGATCGCAATAAAAATTCTCTCTCGAAAGCAGCTATAGATCAAAAATTCTTGTAAAAGAAATACGATCTTGAAAATGAGCGATAATAGAAACGATAAAGTCGATGCAGAGAAAGAACGTATTATATAGTTTGTAGGGCATCGATGATCGTTTTGTTAGGATATATATATATATTTTTTTTTTCTTTCCGCAAACGAGCCTAAAAAGGAATTTGATAGATATTCGTGAAACTGTAGTGATACTCGAGTGTGATTACGATTTGTTCTAAAAGAAGAACGATGAAAAATATAAAGAAGGGGTAGGATCAAGAAACGATAGAGTTACGATTATAGACAAAGGTTCGAAAAGGGAATACTCTTTACAAACTCTTTACGAAGTTAATTTTAATTGAAATGTATCACATTTAATTTGAAAATTTCATGATAGTGTAATATAATTGCATTAATCGAGAAATATCATTCGTTTAATTATATTTCAACAAATTTCTTAATTAGAATATTATTTCAAATATTATGAAGAAGATTTTTGAATGAATCTTCTCTTTTACGATTTGTAAAGGGTTGACACTTAACGCGTTTAGAATTGTAGAAAAAAGAAAAAAAAGGAAACTAAATGTCGAACAACGAACCTATGGTAGCTTTGCACGTTTCTCTCCCATTCTTTTATAGAAACCAAAGAAGCACGTATTCACACATGCGTTTCTAATCCGACGATGGAAAACGATTTTGTTTGAAAATATCCGAAAGAAGAGCCTTTCAAAAAGAATAATTTTTTTTCTTTTTCGGTTTTGTTTTTAAATCGGCTCGAACTTCGGTGAAAATTCCGCTCAAACGTTTTTCATCTTCGCAGTAGGTACACATATATATGCACGCAAACACAAACACGAATACATAGACAAAAATACGCGTATACACGCATACACACACAGACACTAAAATATATACACATGCGTGTATTAATATGAAGATATACAAATATATCATATCGCAAGCGAAGAGGACGGAGAACGTGTTTTGGTAGGAGTACCGAATCTACGTTGAAGTCATTGATGTTAATTCCCCATTCCCTACTACCATCACCACTATCAACCCCGTTAAAAAGAAAAATAGAAAAAAAAAACGGAAAAAAATAAAAGAAAGAAAATAAACAAAAAGGAAGAAGGATAAGGAAAAATAAAGAGTGAGGGAAATCTTAAACTGCCAAAAAAGTTACACCAGAAGCATCTCATGGCTGTACGCACATACTTTGTATTTATCGTGTTTACAAATGTAGGTAATTAATCCATATAGAAATTAAAACATAAGATTTATTTATCCCCGTAAAAAGAAATAAGAAATGTAAGAAGGGAAGGTGGCATAAAAAAAAAAGAAGAAAAAGAATGAGAAGGAAGAGAAGAAAAATTTGAAATTGAGATGATCGCGCAGTGGCTTCTTTCCTTTTTTGCAAAATGTATCATGTAATATACATTATTAAATATTTTCTCTTGAAGCGTTGATGTATTCGCGTAGCAGCTATTTGTAGAATTCGTAGTGCTATTGTAGAAAAAACGAAAATGACAATGATAATAATGATAATGATGATGATGATGATGTTGATGATGATGATGATGATGATGTTGATGATGAAGATGATGATGATGATGATAATGATGATGATGATGATGATGATGATGATGATGATGATGATGATGGTGATGGTGATGATGATGATGATGATGATGATGATGATGATGATGATGATGATGATGATAATGATGAAGCATACATCCTCGATGTGTCGATAATTATACATAAAAGATTTTACGAAAGATTCATAGATGAATTAGAGAAAAGAATAATATCGTAGTTTCCTGACCGTTCCTAAAGACTCGTTCGTATTACAATGATCATCATTACATAAAAATCGGTCAGATTTTTTTTCTTTTTCTTTATTACATATATGATATTCGCTAATGCGGGAAGTGCCAACTTTACACCACTGTGTTTCGACCATGCCAGGAAAAACATATTATATGAGAGACTACATTGTTAACAATTATTACGGAATAATCGGACATCTTATTAAAGTTGCTAACATTGACTGCCATTATGTATTTCATTTGATATTCTTCGAAAGATAATCAAATTTATAACTTAGTTAATCGACTGCTTATGAAAAAAGTGTAATTTACATAATAATTAAATGTATTAAATCAGTATTATTGTGGGATTCAATGACCAAACAAGTTTTGCACTTACTTTATTACAAATTGTCCATAATTTCGTCGTTCAATTCCGTAATATTTGTACGCTCTTCAGGCACATTTTTTTGTAATAATATTTATCGTATATCACATAGGTTTGTACGTACCATTAATAGTACTATGAAATTTTAATACAATATTTTTTAGATGGACGATTGTCCGAATAGGTATTTCAAATATTTAATGAGGAAAGAGACAAACAAATGTCGAAACTCTTATTCGTAAATCAAACTCTAGTTATGAATCATCTTGATCTTATTACGGCGATCACAGTGGATTTTTGGGACACATAATGAATTATCAGTCGCACAAAGTGAAATTTTTCTCGGACCAAACGAAAGCCCAAAGGGGTGACTCGTTCGTCACGGATTTACCTCGAAACAATTTTATAAAGCGGTGTTATGTGGCCGCTGTGATTTTTCATAAAGACATTTAACATTTGACTTTCTCTCTCTCTATATATACATATATATATATATATATATATATATATATATAAATATATATATATATATATACACATATATACATATACCTATATACCTATATTTCTCTTTATCTCTTTATCTTTAGATGACTGATCGCTATCAACAAAATAAGATTGCTAAGGTTCTTCTAAAATGTATCGTATCTTTGCATAATAATGAATTTTAAGCAATTTTCCATGCTGTGCCATCGTGACTCAATTTCCCGTAACGATGATGATGTGAATAATAATAATAATAATATATAAAGAAATGATATAAATATATAATAAGAACGTGAATGAGCGTGTGTAAGTGCGCACGCGATAGAGATCGTGTAATTGTCTTATAACAAAATTTATTTCTCCTTAAAGATGTGAACTTTAATATAATCGCATTTTTATTGTAAGCTTATAATGATATTGATTATCCCTATGTGCTGATAATATGACCGTTTGTAAATCTGTCATGCTTCTAGTAAGACGATCATTTCATTTTCTTGAATATGTAATTTAACTTAGCAGAAACGAAATAGATTTTGCTCGTTACGAAGAACTTGTCGACATAATTTATCGTCTACTACGTAAAGTGTCATTAAACATAACGTTTACATAAAATATCATCAATTTATAAGAGAGTTCCGTCTCTCCCATCTCTCTTGTCCTCTTCCAACTTAATGACTAAGTCTCGTGATTCAAGTTGAATGACATCCGAGGAAAAGTTATGAATTACATCTCGTTAGGAAATAAATTAATAGCACGCCGGTCTGTTTGGAAAATGTATTACAAAAAGTACGTGAATCTTCGCAAAATTCAAGCAAACTATATTTCCATTTTAATTAAGACCGCTCTAACATTACCCTTTCATTACTATACAAAATCTTATCAACTATTCGAGATAAATGTTGAAATAGTAAATGATAGGCGTAGTTTTGGTTTATAAAGTTAAAAACATTTTATCTCAGTAAATCGCATTAAATTATATTTTCCATCTATTTTTATTATCCTTTAAAAAATAAAAATAATTTTTATATTCTTTTACGCTTAGTTTTCTCCTTTTAATAAAAATTTTAAGTAGTCAAACTGCTCTTCTAATATCTTTAATAAAAATTGCTTGAAAGTAAAGTTTGGAAAATATTCATTTTCGAAGAGTTCGATATATTATTTTCCAATAAAATTTTGGCGATATGTTAAAATTGAGAAGCAGGCAGATTCTTTCGCGTCGACTCGCACATATCGATCCTCAAACTTGCGGGAACCGATTCCGATGGCAAAGCACAAGTGCAATATCTTGTGAACGCATTACTAGTACGATTCAATGCTCTTTCAAAGGGCTTTCTAACAAACACCTCGAGGCAATGTTTAAAATGAACTTTAAATGTTACGATAAACGAAATGGTACGTATTACGTTTGATTGCTTGTATATTGCTTCGAGATGTTACGTTAATCATTTGGGATGAGATCGTTAATAGGGCAACTCGTTTGATTGTTAATAACATTATTAATCACCATGGCAGCTTCAGAGTGTGATGAACGGTTCGAATTAATTTTCGAAAAATAAAATCGAGAAGAAGAAAATAAATCTCTACTATCGTATGAATATCGAAAGAGCCGTTAATTCAGTCCCGATGTTATTAATCTAGTATCTACATATATATGTCGCAATGTAGTATGTATTTTCTTTTATTTTTTTCTCAGCTTTCATAATTCTACGATATACAGAAATTTTCGATATAAATTTCGGAAACGTAGAAAAAATATCCATCATTGAACGATATACTTGTTATAAATAAATATAGATACGCTACGAACTTTAAAATATCATTGTATGTGCAATAAGAAAACAATTGTGTGTATGTGTGTAAAATATGATTTTGATTTTGAAAGAGAAAAAAAATAGACAAGGGATGATCGATCCTCCGAACGTAAGAAAACGAATAAAGCTACTCGTCGTTCGGACGTTCGATCATCTTCGCCGGGATATAGAGATAAGATAAAAATAAGAAAAAAGAAATAAATAAAACAAGATTAAGGAGTACAAGTGCATGTAGAGTAATGGTGTATCGGTGTTCTTTTCGAAGCGAAATATTGTCGTGCTATGATGTTCGTAGCACCACGTTAGCGGCTTCAGGTGATTTAGATTTTTTATATTATTCTTACAATGATTATTATTATTATTATTATTATTATTATTATTATTATTATTATTATTATTATTATTATTATTATTATTATTATTATTATTATTATTATTATTATTATTATTATTATTATTATTATTATTATTATTATTATTATTATTATTATTATTATTATTATTATTATTATTATTATTATTATTATTATTATTATTATTATTATTATTATTATTATTATTATTATTATTATTATTATTATTATTACTACTATTATTATTATTATTACTATTATCATTATTATATTATTATATTATTATTAATATTATTAGCATTAGAGAAAAACAATATCGTTCCATGAGCGTGAGAAAAACGTCGTGGGAACTGATGCTCGTCAAAGACGTGTACTTTCTTGTCCAAGCGAGATAATGTTCCGATAGTGATATTTAGCAAGTAATATGCGGATATATTAGTAATATATCATAACTTTAATCTATAGCAGTATTTAAATCGTCGCGTAACGATTGTAATTTATCCTTATTAACACGACAAAATATCGCCCTCTATTTTGACGATATCTGGTGGTTACAGTTTCCATTTGTCCTATGCCGTCCGAATTATCATTATTCTCGCTACTGCGACCATTGAAAATACAGAGAGAAAAAAAAACGGGTTGCATAACCGAGAGTATAATAAAATTGTACAGATTAATGATATTTTTCTCTTTTAAGAATCATATAAGAATTTGTAAATACTTTCACGTACATACGATAAATATAAAAAAAACTAGCCACTTCTTTATTTAATCAGCAGTAGCTAGCAAGAATATAATTCGGACTGGTATAATATCTAACTCTTACTCTAATTATTCTCTATTAAGTATTACGTCTTTCTTTTTCTTTTTCTCTCTCAAATATTTTAACGACCGCTAACGTCGTGCAATAAATTCGCAATCATTTAAAACGATTTTTTCTCTTTTTCTCTTAATGTCAAACTTTTTCATCTTCTCTTTGTCTTTCTCTATCTTGTCATAAATCTAACAGCTCGTCGATCTTGTAAAGAAAATGTAGTTCGAAATTATTCGTAAATTGGTAAAATGAACTCTTTCCATCGCAGGAAACATTTTGATTTAGATTAATGATCGTCGATGTAGATATGTATCACTCATGTATAATATCGTAGTTTCTAAATTAAACGTTAACTATTCTAATCGAAATAGCAAGACTATTTTCAAGATAAATCTTGGTTTATCATATTTTCATCATTTGTCAATGTCACAATATTTCGAATTTTTTTAATGAACGTATCAAAATAAAATAGACGACGTATTTTTCTTCTAGCTAATATTGCACATCTTATATTTTTCTTGAAAAATTAAATTCATAAAACGAGGAAATAAAGGAAGAAGGAATAAAAGAAAAAAGCGTCGAGGCCGAGCTAATGAGAATGGATGTAAAGAAAAGATTATGTATTCTTGATATATAGCTCACGCGAAAGTCATGTGTGTGTGTTGTATAATAATAAAAAGAAACGGAGAGAAAGAGCGTTGTAATATAAAGTAGAAAAAAGAAAGAAAGAGAGAGGGAGAGAGAGGGAGAGAGAGAAATTTATATCTTGATAAACGCGCGACTTTGCTCAAAGAAAAGGTCGCGAAGGGATGAAAGAAAATGGGACGATTGTTCGATCGTAAGTTCGTATCTCCTTTGGAATTGGCATTTTCAGCATCATTGTTTCTATGAGTTTCTAGACTGGATCATTGGTCTAGATGTATTACATGATATTTTTTTCTTTTCTTTCTTTTTCTTATTTTTAATTACGCTCGTTCTGTTTTTCCTTTTTTTTATTTTTTTTATTTTTTTTATTTTCTTGTCTAGTTCTACGTAGAAACAGCGATGCATGTATGTATGTATACAGAATGACGAAAGAGCCTAGCATTCAATTCATATGGAACATGTTAGTATGTAATTGCACGAATGAAATAAATTCGTTCATAGATTCTTCATGCGAAATCATTGTCTTTCAAAAAGCGTATAATAATTCTTCGTGTTAAGGCGAAGGTTCTTCGACTTCCTGTAAACTTGCGATTTAAAATTACGATTTCTTTTTATGTGAAATGTTATTCGAGATTTACTATCGAACGACTTTGAGAATGTTCGTATAATTTAAATACGAATTAGAAGAAGGGGCGAAAGGATGGAAAATGAGAATTGGATAAACGCTTAGAATGAGAAGTATTTTTCTCGGGGAATCGATAACTATATATATGCACACACACACACACACACACACACGCACGCACGCAGGCACACACACACACACACACACACAAACATATATATTGTCATTTTATACATTTTACTATTTTTTTCTGTTTTCTTTTCTTTTCTTTTGTATTTCATTTTAAAAAGTACGTATACGAACAATCTCGAGACTACGCAGATATTTTTGGCAATAATGCAAACAGTATACAACATAGCAATAAGTAAAATTATCAAGTTGACATTTTAAATAGTCACAAATAACATTTAATACCGCCGACCACACACAGTAGTAATATATTGTTTTTCGATATTGAATCGCTCAACCATGTTTTTTCGATATTATATATCTATTAATACCACAACGAGATAATAAATCTTGTAATTTTCACACGATTTGTAGTACAAGACAATTGGTGCAGCGACCACGAAGATATTTATCCCATTAAATTATTATTTTTCAAAGGAAGTTCAAAGGCAAAATTAGTCAATTGCATTGTGCTCGTAATTATTTACGTGCGTACATAAAATTGACTCGTTTTGTTCGTTTAAAAAGTTGCTTATATCCTTATAGGTTTGTATTTAAATCTTTAATGAATTTTATGATATTTTTCGTGCGAATTTTATAATATTTTATAACAATTTTGAAAAAGTGGAAAGAGAAAAGATTCTGTAGGTGGACAACGACGAAAAGAAAAAAAAAAAAAGCATAAGATCGTGCGATTCGTAAAACTATAGAGACGATTTTGTGAGGCTCGTCGTTCGGTCGTCGAAATTTTCATAAAATATCAAAGGAAGAATAGAGAGAACTTAAAAGAATTTTTGGATCGAATGAAATTGATTTTTCGATAGATTTCGAGTGAAAAGTTCGATGGCTTCGACGATGTAGCGTTTTTCTCCCCAAATGGAAAATATTGGATATTTACATTCAAGTTCAAAAGGAAGGAAAGACTTGGAAGTGGTCAGGACTTTTTGAAATCAAACGAAGGTAAAGAAAAGAGTATAAAAAGAAGAAGGAGAAAAGATGCACTATTCGTATTAAAAGCTGTTGCCGAAGATGCCATATAATAATATAATAAATACGCTATTTTATACCAAGCAGCTTGATTAGACGCAAACTTCCTACGTTCTTGTATACATTATATTTATTATTGTTCATGTTTATTAGAATATTATATATATGAAACAGAGATTATTCCCTGGATATCTATAACGCCTTGAGGAAAATAAAATAAATACTTTATGGGATATCGATGGTAGAATCATTGAACACTTATATTTCTCCAAATTTTAGTTTTTTGTATTAATGAAAATTTTTTTCTTAAGCTAAAATAAGAATCATATATTATAAGATAAATGTAATAAATGGGTGAGTAAAATTATTATTTATTTACTTATGTAGAAACAATTCTTATACCACACTCTTCTTCTTATTCTTTAATTTTCATAATTTATAATAATAAAAATCAACAAAGTTTATCTGAAGAACAGTATATATTAATAAAATATACAGATGCTCTTATGCATTTATGCATAATATAATATAAAAGATAGACATCGAGTAGAAAATAAATAAAATATAATGCTGCTGTACTTTATGCTCGACTTATCTGTTTATTTATTTTCCACTAGTCAGAAAGGAGATTGTCCATTGTCTTTTAAAGTCAAATCAAAACAAGTTTTCCTACCTTAGGAAATAGCATTGTTAGCCGATGCGAGTCAATGGCTTGCACTTTGTACTTTCTCGGAAATTCTTCCTTCCGTTTCTAGCCGACGGCAATGTGGAACGCCGCAAGGTAAGCAGGCGGCCTACGGTAAAGATGTTAATTAACCAAGTTTCAGTCTTAACAAAGTTTTTCGATTAGCCAGTAAATTGTTATACGATGCGGGCGCGGCTTGCCGCTTCGTCATTATTTCTCTCTCTCTCTCTCTCTTTCTCTTTTTATTTTTCTCTCTTTCTCTTTCTACTTCTCATTCTTCCTTTCCTTTGCTTTCCCAAACAAATCCAAAATTGTAGTAACGAAACGCAGCGAAATAATGGAAAGTCGAGCGCGGAAAAGTTTAGTC